GCAAACTCCCCTCCCCTTTCGCTCCTCTTTATTTCCTCTGGGAGGGGCCATTCACCGTCCACCTGTGGCTTTGGTCCTGAGTCTGCCCTTGTTCCTTAGCTGTTCCCTTCTCCTGGCAGCTCTGCACATGCGCATACTGGGAACAGGCTCCAGCTGTTCTTCTGCCCCACTGATCTCCGACCGAAGCTGATAACTGTCAGACAGCCCTGGCCTCATCTCTTCCTCCAACACAGAGCCCTCATCAGAGCCTTCCCCAGACTCCAGGACCGGCCCATGTTCCTCCCCAACTTCCTCACTGGTCAAGTCTGCCAGCAGCTTCGCTGGTGGGCCACAACACAACCAACCACATTGTGGCTTACTGGGCATTCTGGATCATTCCACAGGCTAAAACCAGGACTGGGGCTCAACCAGATCTTCCCTTTCAGCCCACTCTGGCCAGATGGGCAACTCAATTGAAAAACGGTAGCCGAGGGGCCAAGTGCTGCTGATTTTAATGTTTAAAAGCCAGCAATAAAATGAAGCAAAGGAACATTAACCCCCAGAGGAGAAGGGGGCCACCTGGCCTTCTTCCAGGATCCGTGTGTGAAGGGAGGCTGACTTTGTGGGAGGCAGTTGAAAAGTCGCTTTTTGAACTCATGGATGGACAGAGTCTGTTTTATTCTAGGTTCGCCAAGCTGCTGCTTCGCCTCCCCGCCCTCCGGTCGATCGGCCTGAAGTGTTTGGAGCACCTCTTCTTCTTCAAACTCATAGGGGACACGCCCATCGACACCTTCCTGATGGAGATGCTGGAAGCTCCCCACCAGATGACTTAAAAGGACGCTGGGCCAGGCCAGCTGCTTTCCTCAGCCCAGGGGGCTGCGGCCACCCACCGGGACCTCCGATCTGAGACCCGTCCTGCTGCCACCTCCCCCCCCCCCCGTCACCATGCAAGGGATGCTGCCTGCTCTATCCATCCCTCACGCCCCACACCTGGGAACGTTGGTGTGGCTGGCTTGGCCCTTTTGCTGCTTTCGCAAACCACTTGCGTCTGAGGACAAATGGCTTTTGCAGATGGGAGAATGGCTTGGATAGCAACCACGGCCTGCTTGCACTTGGGGCCCTCCCCCACCTTGGCTTTAGTGCCCCCCCCCCTCCCCAGGTGCAAGATGGTGAATTTACTCCCAACTCCTCCGGAAGGATTTCAGGACTCTGTAAAGCCCCCTTTACTTAAGAAGGGATTGCGCTGGTGGGCACAGGAGAGGCTAGGAGGGTGGCCAGCTGCACCTGTAGACCTCCAGAGGTGGCACTTCCTGGGCATGAGATTGAGCAAGGCTGTCTCCTCAAGCCAGAGGTGGGCAGGGCTGCCAGGTGGGTTTCGCTGCCCTTCAGCTGCCCCTGCTGGCTTATGCGGGCAAGCAAGTTGGGCAGAGTGTCTTTGCTGGCAGACGGCAGGCTGAGCCACCTGGCAGGGTCTGGGCCAAGAGACCTTCCCTTTTTGTTGGGAGGAAGAGGGATTGGGGGCTCACAGAAGCTCTGCAATTTGGATGGCGCTGGGTATTGGTGGCATCGGGCTTTCCTGGCCCGTTGCTTCATGAGCACCAGCGCCAGGGGGCAGAGAGTGCCCTGGTTGACTTCCAGTGTCAGAGACGTGGGGCAAAAGGGTGGTGGTGGCTCAGATTTGGTGCCAAGGCAGAGTCTGCCCTGGCTGAAGCCCCACATCTTATGCCCAAGCAGAACTGGCTGCCACTGACAAGAGGCCGGAATTGACAAGGAGGAGGCCTGTGGCCTCTGCAGGAGTCCCTGCTCTGCTTAGAAGAGGGACCTGTGTAGTGAGGCACATTCCCCAGTGGGGGGAAATTAAAGTTTGTCTCTCCTTTCAGTTCACCCCCAAAAAACAAAAGCACTAAAGCTGCTTCATCCGGGCAGGTTCAGGCACTTTCCCCCCTTCAGTGCCTCGGGGGCTGCCATTCCTTCGCCCTGCGCCTCCCATCTCCCAACACCCAAACCTGACAGCAGTCCAAATGCGACTGAGGGCCCTTGGAGTTTGGGGGGGGGGGGGGGGCGTTAGATTCAGCCCAGAAGTCCTCTTCAAGCTAGGGCTGCTGATATAAAGGCTGCTTGGGTGGAGCTTCCTTGTGCAGGAGCAGTCTAGCCCTGGTGCTCCTTTCCAAAATACAGCACAGGAGTCCTAGTTCAGCCTGGCCCTTGGGGGTGGGTGGGTGTCAGCCTGGACCCATGGGGCCTGGGGGGGGGATTGCCCTAAGGGCCAATCAGGGGAGGGTCCCTGGGGGTTTCTTGCAGAATTCAGAAACAAAAGAGGGGTGGGCTGAAGGGCCCCCAAGGCTGGACTGGGTGCAGGCGGGGAAGAAGGGGCAGCCCTGTGGAAGGCTCCCCTGCCAGTGCCCTCTTGCAGGAGGCGCCACGTGGGAGCGGCTGCCTGGGCAGGGAAAGGGACTCCGGGCCCCTCCCTCCCTCTTGGGGCTCTTTGCTGCTTCTCGGGGCTCTTTGCTGGGTGGAGAAGCCTGGGCTTCTCCGCCCTGCCAGGGCAGCCCGGGGGGGGGGGCAGCTAAAGACTGAGCCCCTCCCACCCTGAGCCAGGCCGATGCGTGTACCAAAAGCGCCGCGGGGTGCGTGGAGCTTGGCGAGCTGGCGGAGGGAGGGGCCGGCAGGGACGCCCGTTTCCCGACCGAGTTCAGGTCAACGACGGGCGCGGAGAAAAGGGATTTGGCTCGCTTGGACGGAACGGAGTCCCTATTTCTTCGCACGCCGCCGGCTGAGCCCGGCTCTGCGCTTTGGCTGCTGGCGGGGAAGCGGCGGATTTTGCTCCGACCGGGCTCTGCTCGCCTTCCGGCCTTATCCGTCGAGGGCTCCGTTTCCAATTTCGGGGGGAGGAAACACAGCTCCCAGCCCCCTCCACCCGGGAGAGCCCAGTCAGCTTGCAGCGAGTGGCTCAGGCGCCCCCTCGGCGCTTCCCCCGCCCCCCGTTTGTTACCTGCCCATTGGGGGAGGGCGTGGGGCTCGCCCAGACTCGGGAGGCCCCTTTGCTTGGAGAGGGAAAGGGAGAGTCTAAACTTCGGGAGGCAGCCTGCGAAGGAGCCACTCGTACAGCTTGTGGCAGATATGTGTGCCCCCCCCCCCCGGAAGCAGAAGGGCAATGCAGGCAAACAGCGGAGTCAGAGGGGGTGGGGCGTCCCTGGGGGACTGCAGTCTTTCCCTCCGGGATTTTCTGGGAGTTGGAGGGGGCTCCTACAACTTGAGGTGGCGCGATGCGTGTGTGTATACATGTATGTAGTGTAGATATATACACTGTATAAATATCCCCCTTCACATATGCATACTCTTACCCCCGCCTTTGGGGTGAACTTTCTGCTCTTCTTTTTTCCAATCTCGCCTTCTTTTTCCCTTCCTGTTTTACTTGCTTTGTGAAAGCGAGGCCTCCACCCTCCAACTGTTGGCAAACAAAACTGGAGCTTTTGTAACCCGAGCAGAGGGAAGGAAACGCATCTATTTTCAGATGCCGGAGTGGGGAGAAGCGGGTGGGCGAGCTGGGGGCTTCAGCGATTCCCGACGGAAATGTTTAGGGAAAGCGAGGCCGCCTTCGCTATCCGGAGCTCGTAGCTGAAGGAGGTGATAAAAAGAAAAATTTAAATGAGAAGGTGAGCAAAAGATCTAATTGTCAATAAAGTTAAATATCTATTTTTGTACAAATGTAATTTTATCCCTTACGTATGTTTAGATAATTTGGGGAGGGGGGCTGCTTTTATAGGATTTGTCCTACATCTCTCACTCTGCTCAGCCTTAAGACGCCTCTCTGAAGCGAAGGACAAGCTTTATTGGGTGTTCAAATGTCTTTAGTATCCAAAATCACTTCCCAAGGAATGGATTTCGGTCCCCTCCCTACCCGGAGACACGCGGCACACAGCCGACTCTCCGGTGGCGCCTCCGAGATTCTCTTGCAGCATTAACTCTACTGTGAAATCACGACCCTATATTATTGCTCACTAAAAAAATTAAAGCTGATAAATAAATAAATCCGCTGGAAATGCCAGTATTTTGACGAAATGTATTAGGGTTGTTTTTTTTAAAAAAAAAAAAGTAAAAGAAAATATATGAGCGTTTTAAAATGCAACGGCGTTCTAAGTTCTCTTGTTTTATACCTTCTGCACTCACTTAAATTTGCCTTTCACTTACTTTTGGCTTAGAGGGAAGTCCAAGAATGTTTTTGTAAAGGGGGGGGGGGGGGGAAGGCTGGTCTGATAATGGTTGGACTAGATGAGCTATAAGGTCCCTTCCAACTCTGTTAATCTGTTTGAAGGATGGGGAAGATTCAAATCTTGCCTCTCCTTTGGACATGAGGGAGCAGGTGACTCCGCTGCCCCACCCCAGTCAAGCGGTGGCGGCTGACCCTCCTTTCAATCGATGCAGAAGGGGGGAAGGCCCACCAAAGGACTTCTTACTCACCTGGCCTCCCCAGGAATTTTTCTTCGGGGACCTCAAGGCTTCAGGATGCTCTGTTGGGCAAATGGCTCATTCCGCAGGTGGCAGCTCCCAGCAACAAACAGCTGGAAGCATCCCCTTCCTTTCAGGCTTTCAGTATTTCATCCCTTAATTCTCTTTGCAGCATCTGTG